AAAAAAAAAAAAGAAAAGAAATTCTAGACTCAAAAATATCATGGAAAATATTATTTCTCTTTCAATTTCTAACATAATTAAAATAATCCTATATCAAGTTTTAGTTTCTTGAGCCCCTTAGGTAAACTGTTCAGCAACTATCATTACATTTAATTGTAACAGATGGAACTATAAATTGCAAGTGGTAGGTCCATTACTGTTCACAATTACCCACTGTCCCCCTTTGAAGGAGAATTACACCATATATCTCCCTTCCCTGTCAAATGCAGACACAACCACGAGACTTACTTTAGCCAGTGAAATGTCAACCTTTAAGAAGCTTTAAAAGGTAGCAGTTAGTTCAGCATGTTCCCTTTTCCCTGCTTCTGTGACTGTAAGCATATGTTGAGATGGAGCCTCCATCAGCCAGATCTAAGAGTCTCTCAAACCACAATGTACTGAGCAAGACAGCAAATCTGCTGCTTTAGGCTGCTGGGATTTTCATGTCGTTACTACAGTATAACCTAGGCTCATCATGACATAGCTTACACAAAAAAATTTCTTTTCCATTCTAGGGCTGACATCAAAACTGTGAATTCTGTATTTGGATTGTTCTGTATGAGTCAAATGTTCATAAATGTCTATTCTAAACATCCCTCCAAAGCTCACAAAAATTTTCTTTCTGTGGTATAAGGCAGAGCTTCTTTACCTCAGGGGTTTTCATCAGGTACACTTTCCCTCAAGTCAGAGCCTCTGAGCCACTCACCTGCAAACAAACTCATCTGGCGCTCATCAGTGGGAAGGTATCCTACATGCTGCTCTGCAATTATGGCAACTACTACAAGGAAAGTGCTCCACCACCTGGTAATCTATTCCTTCAGACTGCTGCCCATCCTGGCAAATTGGCCCATGGAACTTTTGGAAGAGTTTATGTTCCAGCTGCCCAAACAGCAAAGCACACAGTATAAAGAGAGGAGGAGTTGGGGAGTATACTGAAAGCTATGTCATGATAAACCTAAGTTATACAGAAGTTGGGGAGCACAAAAACTCCTAGTAAGCAAAGTTCCAAGCAATGGCTTTAATTCTTTGTATCAGTATTTTCTCCCATCTGTTTTTAGCAGCATAAAATCTAGTTGCATAGTGACTGTTTGAACACTTTCTGCCAAATAGAGCTTTGTTACTATCTTAAAAACTTATTAGAAAATCCAATTGACTTTGAAATCCTTTT